ATCCAGAGAGAAAACAATGCCAAAGGACGGAGGCGCGGCCACCGTGGAAATATTCAGGTGGATGGAAAAAAACTTCTCTGTTTGCTGAAGAAAAACGTCCTTCTTTTTTTTTTTTCAAATAGTTACATTTTATTTATAAAGGCAAAAAAAAACCCCACCAGAATAAAGTTCTGTTAAGGGGGGGACGGGGGGGGGGGGATGTTACCGTGGGGGGGGGGGCTGGTACCAACTGAAAACGTAAGTTAAGTCGAGTAAATACAGTATCTATTCCAGTGTTTGGGCTAATATAGATCATTTAACGGGCCGTTGGCGCCCCCTACCCTGACGTTAAATGGTAGGAACTTCTTGCCTGTTATTAGATTTAACACCTGCTCCAGATTGAAGACGTTCATGACAACAGTGAGTAGAAACGTCCACCGTCGGCCGTGGGTCACAGTTACTTCTCTAATCCATTATTTTTTACTTTACGCCGATGATTCTGTGATTTGAAAGCGTGTCCAGACGTTGACAGACAACCTGAGCGTGTGTTTGTGCTGCAGCTGTAGCAGAACTGTTCTGTTCTGTTTTGTTCTGTTCTGTTCTTCTCTGCTCTGTTCTGTTCTGTGCTGTGCTGTGTTCTGTTCTGTTCTGATCTGTTCTGTTCTGATCTGTTCTGATCTGTTCTGATCTGTTCTGTTCTGTGTTCTGTTCTTTTCTGTTCTGTTCTGTGTTCTGTTCTTTTCTGTTCTGTTCTGTGTTCTGTTCTGTTCTATTCTGTTCTGTTCTGGTCTGTTCTCTGTTCTGTTCTGATCTGTTCTGATCTGTTCTGTTCTGATCTGTTCTGATCTGTTCTGATCTGTTCTGATCTGTTCTGTTCTGATCTGTTCTGTTCTGTGTTCTGTTCTGTTCTTCTCTGTTCTGTTCTGTGTTCTGTTCTTTTCTGTTCTGTTCTGTTCTGTTTTCTTAAACTGTAGTTCATTTACCAGCAGCTTTGGTTCACACTCGAATCTTAACCTAAATCTGTCACAGAGTATTTTAGTACGACTAGAACTACGGTTCTGGGTCTTATTTTTTTGTGGCTAAAGATTTAAACAAAATTGGCAAAAAAAAAAAAATTCTGGAAAAATCCTCCAGAGTGACCTGGAAATTCAAGCTCTTCCAGACTTCAGGGAAAAACGGTCGTTCATCTTTCAGTTGAAATCTGTGACTCTGGAAACTCCTCTTCAACCAATCATCACCAGAGCAGTGAACCCACAGCTGGTCCTGACCTCTGGTCCAGGTGAACATGTTCACGTTAACGTTCCTGGAGCTCCGTGAAATCAACGCCAACCTTCAAATAAAACACAGTTTTGAACCCGACAATTTTTC